CTTTGCAGACCTTGAAGTGTTAGACAATTGTGAATGATTATGTGTTCATAACAACACATAGAAATTATAAATATATACTGTATTCATGATGAGGTTTAAGTCCTGCCTCTGATCCATACTAGCTCTGTGATTATGTGCAGATCAATTAACCTCTTAGTATCTGAGATAACAATTGTTTTCTAAGTCATATTTAAGTATTTCTAAATATCTAAGACTGTAAATTATAGATGAGTTGCGAATTATAATCAGTGGAGCACATTTTCACACCAGGTGTTCCCAATATTAATTAAATCTCAGGTACCAATATTTGCCCTCCTCTCCAACACTCCCTACCCCCCAACCTGAAACACTTATGTGAGTTCTTTATCTCCATGTACAATATAGTATACAAGATATCCTATGATAAGATTCAAAGTCCACTAAAGTATAGTCTCATATTGTAAACTACACTTTGTTCCAATAAGCTCCTGCATTTGTGCTTTTATTTTCAATTTGTTTATTTAAAGTATGCAGGTTCAGTGAGGATACATTTGGGACTTAGAAAATTTAAGGAAAAACAATAGGACTTAGCACTCAATGTCAGTTCTACTAAATTTCAAAGAGGCACTATAAAATTGTAGTGTCTCACATGAGAGATTACTTTAACCTTTTTTTTTTTAAATCAGTCTCAAGTATTCATTTTCCCCTTTTGTGGATGTGGTATTAAACTTAGGTAATTATGCAGTTTTTAATACATATTTTAAAAAAGAGTATTTAGGTTTTATTATAACAAAAAGAAATACAAGCTCACTTTTGAAGAATAAATTTGTACCAGTAAATATAAAACAATGCCATGTTAATTGTGCGACTGGATTTTCATGCAGCAAATTTGAGGTCATAATTCTATTTTATTTTTAATTTAAAATGGTATTTAAACTTTCTTTGTCACCTTCATTCACCAATTTGTCCTTCACTGCTTCTTCCTAACCTCCTAGAAAGTCATTTTGGGTTTTTTTTTTTTTTGGTAAGGCAGTTGGGGTTAAGTGACTTGCCCAGGGTCACACAGTTAGTAAGTGTTAAGTGTCTGAGGCTGGATTTGAACTCAGGGCCTCCTGACTCCAAGGCCAGAGCTCTATCCACTGTGCCACCTAGCTGCTCTGAAAAAGTCATTTCTTAAAACAAAGAATAAAAATAAGGTAGAAAAACAGTTCGGCAAAACTAAGCAGCCATTGACTAAGTACAAAATTATATACAATGTTCAGGTGATATCTATGGAGTTTTAGATAACTTTTTTTTGGCTACTAAACATTGTAAAACTCCATGAACAAGTGAGAATATCAGAAATTTTGTCCTTTGTTTTTGGAAAAAATATATCTCATCGTGTGTATGAGTCAGTGTCCTTGAATTTGAAGTTTCTAGTGGACAGGAACAGATGGTATCTTCTTTTGGACTAGTCCAATGTCACCTGTCTGTGGATGCTAATTTCATTTTATATAGCTGTGAAGAAACTTATTTGGAAGGTTTGCCACCAGATAAAGATATTTTGTGCAATACCTGTGGTATTGCAATGCCATGTTGGCAATCTTCCCCAAACCCATCTTTTCTTTACTTTGCTATACCTGACTTAAGCCAGACCCCTCTCCTTAATTTTGTTATAATGAATTGGATGCTGTAAGATGCCTTTCCTTTTCTTACTGTGTGACTTCAAGATCTATCAAGAAGTTACATTGGTGCCACTCACTTCCTTTCAGCAACATTAGCTACCACCACTTGGGTGCTACTGCAAATTACTCCAAATTGTGAGGGCATGCTGCCGTGCTCAGGCTTTCTGAAATCTCATACAAGTGACAGAAGATGGTTGAAGAGCTCCTTAATGCCACAAAGCAGGATCTGTGTGACACGTTTATGAAAATTCTGATAGCGCTAAAATTAGCAGTGGCTGTCACTGGCTGCTTGGTAGTAAAGAACATGTTTAGAGAGAAAGACTCTTCTTGACCACTAGGCATATATTAATATTAACAGCAACAACACTTTACATCTATAGAGTGCAATGTATCAGGAAAGCACAAAGCACACCTTGCTTTGGTGAACCAGACAGACTCTAATAGCAGCAGCATTATTGTAGCAACCTCAGAGAGAACCCAAATCACCAATTACTGTCAAAATTTATTATTTACTCAAAAGTGGTTTTAGAAAATAGAGCTTAGAGGTCAATAAAAAGTCTCAAAACATATTTTATAACCCAAATATGTAAAATTAGGATCAGAATATGGTATAGATAGGTATTTAATGTCTTTTTTTCTATAAACATCTCCCTGTAACCCCATGTAAATATCAAATAACTAAGGGTTATTCCCTCCCAAAGTTAATTGTATTTCAGCAGGAATAATAACAACAACTCATATTTCTATAGTTCTTCAAGTTTTTCAAACAACTCTCTTTACAGACAATATTTTGCAGGTGAAGAAATACTCAGAGAGGTGAGGTGATTTGTCCAGGGTGACACAGTCAATAAATATTAGAACTACTGTTTGAACCTGTTTCTTAACTCCTAGTCCAGACTTCTTTCCATTACAACCCCTTTTTAATCAAAAGGATGAAGTTCTGATCAGAGAGACATCAGTTCCCAGGTGGGGACTATTTTGAAAGGGTGACCTTTTGGGCCCCTGAACTATGCCTACAAACAGGTTGTTTGTAAAACTGTATGCAGTAGAGATTATGGTTCTCTAGGCAGTATTTTCTAATGCAAACCATTTAATAAAATAAAATAAAAGATTCAGTGATGAGTACACAAAAATGATTATTTCATCTTGACAGTTTCTCATAGACCCTACATTTGAAACACGAAGAACAGGTTTCTGCACCTACAGACAGAAGCCTTCTCTTTTAGGGTCCTTTCATGCCTCAGTCCCCCACCTTTTGTAGCTTTCGTAGCAAGGAATGGTTGGACACTTTCTGGCAGCAGCAGTTCTCCCAGATCTCCTTCCTATGTTAAATTATTCATTGACCTGTGTCCATTTTCCTTCCTTATGGGTTCATTCCCCAAAGGAGCTGGGCTTGTTCCCTTAGCTTAGGAGAACCAGTGATCTCATCATTCTGACTGTGATGCCATAAACACCATAAAGGACTACTGATTCCACTCCACTGGCTCCCTCCCTTCTCTACCCCTTTCTTTTACTGGACAGAAAAGGAAATCAGAAAGTAAGCATCCTCTACCCCTTCACAGTTCTTAATCATGCAGTTATTTATGAGCCCCTACAGGATGGAAAGGAAATTGTAGTGATTTTCCTTGGGAGCTAATCACTATCTTTTAAGTTTAAATTGTGGACTCAAAAAGGGCCCTTTTACTCAGTTAATTGGGAAAGAAATAGATCTACAGCACAGTAATCACCATAGATTTTCAGCATCTCCCAAAAAACAACAAACAAAACCCTCATAAATGAATGAACTGCTAGGGTAGTAGTTATAATTAAGATTTCATGTTCTGAGCCTTAAAATCCTCTTTCTGTATCCTCTAATGCAAATCAGTATCAAACTGCAGGAACAGGGAGGGGTGTGTTCGAGGTCTAAGTCGAGCTCTGTCTGAAAGCCTCTGTCCTCTGCAAAGTACTAAGGAATCTGGCTTGTGTGTGATTGCATTGAAGGTGTGTTTCAGATGCATTCAAAAAGAAAAGCTACCTGTCCCTAATTCCATCCATGGCACTAAAAGCCAGTGAAATCAGAAATGAAATATTAGTGAGAGCCACTCATCTGCATTATTCTCCTACTCTGTTTCATAAAAGAGAAACAGCTAGAGATGTCTTTGCAGGGTATGTGTGTAGTTACTTCGGGTTCTGCCCATCAGTTATCCAGTCCTGCTTCAGAGATAGTCTCGGTCCAAATGTTTTCCATAAAGTAGCTTCCAGAATGTGGACTCCTATTTTCTTCAGCCTAATCTCTGCCTCACTCCTCATGCTGCTTAAACACCTTCATTCCTCCCTCTCACGGTAATGACATCGAGGGGCTCTAGGTCAGTAAAGGCAGGCTCTCCCTAATCTCTTTCAAATCTTCCGATCTGTTCTCCTCTTCTTAATATTCAATCTGTTTTTCTCCCTAGCCTTCTCATGCTCCCTAAGGTCCTCTTAGTCTCCTAGCTAACTCCATTCAACTTTCCCCGTGAACCTATATCATCAGCGCCCTCCAGGCCGTCAACTGCTGAAATGACAGTACCCATAGTAGCACCCTCCACCTTCTCCGTATCTTCTGGTCCACAGCCATTCGCTTGCTCCCCCTTTCAGGCTCTGATCCAATCCACCTTTCTGTCAGCAATCTCCCACTTCCCGACATGACTCTTTTCCCAATAAGGCAGTTACCCAAACTACCATCTTTTGCTGCTGTCCTCTCTTCTTCCCGTAGAAAAATACCTACCTTGACCCGTTTCCCCTGACCGACCTCCCTCAATTTATAACTCTCCAGAGTCACCACTGCCTTCTCTCTACCCCAATGGGCAGCCGCCTAACCGATTCCCTACACATACTCCCATCACTTTACAGGCACATCCATCTCCCTCACAAGGCATATATGTATGGACAGAATCCCAGAGCCAGGCAGATCTATCTACTTCATCTCTTCAATTACACTAATATTCATTCACTACCACCACTACCTACCACTATCCGTTAACACCACACACACACACACACACACACACACACACACACACACACACACACTTCTGATATTCTGAACAAGACTAGCTAGTCCTCTCTGATTACAGTCTTTCATTCATTCCTTCCCACCTTAACACACACACACACACACACACACACACACACACACACACACACACAGAGCCCCGTCAACCCACTCCACTTACCAGACACCCACCTACTATATAGCCCTCCCCTAAACAGACATTCACCCACTCACCATCTGTAGCCTCCCTTCTCCCCCACCTCCTCCCACCCTCTGCTCCCCCTCCTCAAGAAGTAGACCTGCACAGTGGGGAGGAAGGGACCCCAGCCAGATGCTCCAGTCCTCTGGGCTGCACTGACCTCAGCTCGCTTAGTCCCAAGAAACTACAACAAAGGAGAAGAGAGACACCCCCCCCCCCACCTTAGCCAAGAAACCACTGCCCCCAAACCCAGAAACAGAAAGAGGAAAAAGAAACAGAGCTTGGAGGCTGCAGAGGTGGTGGGGTCTGCCTGGAGGTAGTGAGCCTTCGCCCCTGCGTGGGGGCCAGGGCAGCAGCAGGAGCCGGGACAGGCTTGGGGGGCTTTCATTGGAGAAGGCAAGGAAGGAAGGACGCCCGCCGGAGCTTCGGAGCTTTCTTTCGGGCTCGGACGCCGCCAGTCACCATGGGATGCTGCACCGGGCGCTGCACTCTCATCTTCCTCTGTACTCTGCAGCTGGTGAGTGAGCACCGACCGACTAAGTCACCTACTTCTAGTCTCTTCCTAGGATCTCCTTTGGGCACTATCAGTTTGCCTGGCGACACAGAGGCGCCTCGACCCTTCCATCCTTTAGTCCCTAGAGCCCCTCTTGGGCTGCAGCTCCCAGTCCCCCAACAGCTCTCCTCTTTGCGCTGTAACTCAGGACGTTGAGAGCGAGCTTGCGAGCTAGTGTGTGGATTGAGTGATTGCTCTTTCTGCGGGCTCCCCACCCCCACCGGCTCCCCCACCGGTGGCTGAACTGCCGGGAAGCCCGGGACTCGCCGCCCGTCACCCTCTGCTACAGCCTGTAAGCCAGGGCACAACCTGAATCTCCACCCCACATCAGTCTCCCCCCCCCCAATGCACTTGGGAACTAGCACTCTCTCCCTCCTGGGCGGCCACTCAGCCACTGAGCTCCCCCAGTTGTTCCGGGGATGCTGCAAGCTGTGGCTGGTGAGTGCTTGAACCCACCCCTCGCTTAGAGCCTGAAGACTTCCACATCCTCTATAGTAATATGAAAGTTTAGTGTCGTGTTGCGGGCTTTTCTTTTGAAAAGTAACAGTTTTGCATGGGTTGAGTAATGGGGACTGTAAAGTGAGGTACTATTGCTCCAGATTCTGAGAGAGAGAGAGAGAGAGAGAGAGAGAGAGAGAGAGAGAGAGAGAGAGAGAGAGAGAGAGAGAGAGGAAACATCCATTATGTAACTATTGAAAGGGTGAGATGATTCTTATCAGACTTGGGTTAAAAGATAGTTAGAAAGTCTTTCAGACCGCTGAAGGAGGATTTTTTTTGCGTGACTGCGTTACAGAATCCTTCTCTTCCCTTTTGTTTTGTTTTAGTTCAAATGTTACTATTTTACACAGACGGATTTACAGTTGTCTTTAAAGAGAGAACAAAGTAGGCAGGGCAAGCTTTTGGATATGGCTTCTTTGAGAAAGCAAGGCTAATGGATAGTTGAAAGATCTGGGGGAAAAAAAGAACTGCAATTTTCTTACGGCATAGAGTAAAATTATCTGTCTATCTCTAAATACTCCGTTTAGCACACAGTATACCGGGACCTACACTCTTTTTGCCGTTTTTTTTTTCTTAGTCACTTTTCTGAGGTCAAGGTTAGTGACCCTCTTTGCCAGGCATTAACTACACACTTCTTGTGGTGATGCATGAGCAGACACACAGCATGGTCTACAGCTTTTCTTCAGTGTTTTACTGTGTGTAAAAAAACAAACCAAAAAACCCAACTCAATAGATATGTAACTAACATAATTTAGGTTGTGATTTAATAATTTCTTTTGCTAAAGTTTGCATATTTTTTCCCAAGGAAAAAGATGTCAAGATGAACTTTACTGAGCAAAAGCAACCCCTTGTATGGCTCATTAACTAAGGGATAAAAATAATACTGTTTTTTTTAACAGTCCTCAGTCCCATGAGTGTTTTAAAAGGTTTTCACTTTTCTACTGCTTCAGAGTGCTTTCTTTTCTCCCTCTCCCCTTTTTTTTGGAGACTGTAGTCTTACTTTTTGATGTGCTCTTTACTATGTATAAACAGTGCAAGGATGTTCAGAAATTTGATAGCGTGGTTCATATTTCTTAATCTTTGACAAAGTACCTTCTGTTGCCTGACAAATTTTAAATCAGACCTATTGTGTGTAATTATTTCACTGTGAGAAAATGTTTCACTCAAACATGATTATTTCTATTTTAACAGGGAAAAGGATATAAGAAAGACAAAATTTACTTTTCTCAGTACGAGGAGGGTGCTTACTTGGAAGGCAGATAATGCAGTCAACTCTTGATTATATGTCTTAGTAGAGAAGAGCAATGATGTGGAAAATCCATAGCAGCATAGAATAGGAAAGTGATTTTTAGTAGAATAGAAATTTATAACTGGAAAGAGGGGATTTTAGAGATCGTCAGGTCCTAACTTTTCATCTTACAGATGAAGACACTGAAATCAGAGATCAAATTACTTGATCAAGGTCATATAACTTTTTTTTTGGTTGTTGTTGTTCAATGATGTCCCGTTCTTCCTGACCCCATTTAGGGTTTTCTTGGCAAAGACACTAGAGTGGTTTGCCATTTCCTTTTCCAGCTCATTTTACAGATTAGGAAATGGAGGTTTACCTTACTTGCCCAGGTCAGAAAATATCTCAGGCCAAATTTGAACCCAGGTCTTCATGACTGCAGGCCTGAAGTTCTATCCACTGCACCACCTAGCTGCTGGTCATTTAACTAGCAAGTGATATAACCAGGTCTAGGGAAAAAGAACTCAGATATCTTGACTATGAGGTTCTTTTAGTTTTGCATTACTGTGCTTCTTTTGAACTGCTGACTCTGGGATGCAGTGTAGTTTAGTTTTCTAATGCATCAGATTTATCTTCCTAAATATCCTCTAAAAAAAGATTTATATAAGCATCAGTTTGAACTCTGTGAGTACATACCACTGGAAGGGATGGGGTAGTTGTGTACAAGTGTTGAATAGTGGTAGAAGATAATCAGCCTATAATGAAAAATTTGCTGAGGAGAATTTGCCTGCTGACTATGGAGCTAACTCCAATGACCCTTAGAAAGACAGAAGAGGAGCAAGTTCTAAAAGTTAAAGAAAAAGCAAAACAGCATAATTACCTCAAATGCTACTCAACCCATACCAACAATACTTGGGAGCCCATTGGATCAGACTAGGTAGCCATGGTCTCATTCACTCCAGATCTCAACCTATGTATAATTGTCAAAAGGTTACATTTCTTTGGATATCTTATGAGTATGAAGACATACCTACGTGGTTAACTTTATGGGAATGATTACTTTGAAGCAATGAAGAAAAATTGTGAATAAATCCAATTATTCTCATTTCACCTACTCTATTGAAAACTGCCACCAACCATTTCACAACTTTTAGTCTTTTTAGATCAAACCATTTAACAACTTCTAAACATATAATTCCTTTGATATATACATCTTCTTTTGGGGCACATTTTATAATGTCATTAGTTTACTGTCAAATATAGCTAATCTAGAAATTTGTTTTCTAGATACAGAAGTATACTTAGAGTACAGTGTTTGGCACAAAGCTGGTGCTTAATAGATTCTTGTTGGATGATATTTTATGCAATGAAAAAAAAAAACGTTACCCATATCACACATGTTTTAAGTAAAATCCAGTAAGCAGAGCCAGGTGTTCTGAGGGGTCTTGGTGGCAGTGTTGTTGAATTTATGGTCACATGAGTTGTCACCACAGCGGGGGTATGAGGTCTTTGTCTAACATGGAAGAGGTCACAGTTATAAAACATGTCAGGCAGAACTTGGTGCTTAGACATTGTTATCACTAAGGAAGATTTATTGAACTTTGAATGCATTTTTTTGAGAGGTGAACATATTACTGAGGATAGGCAATATTTAAGTTAAAAGGTGGAAACACAAAATATTTTAAGAAAATCAATTTGGAGTGACAAAAATAATTCAGGTACATCAAATGCCCTTATACAAATAAAGAGATGATACTCTTTTATTTAACAAATAAAAACAAACTCCTCCAATCAAAAAGGGAAAGTGATGCTCCCCCAACCCACTCTCTATGCACAAAGGAAACCATCCATTTTTCCTTGCTTTTCATGCCACACATGGAACAATTCTCAAGCAACCTTTCCTCTTCCACAATATTGGAATAACATGATAAGGATGTGCATGGAGAGGTCTGGATAACCTTTACTGCAATAGCAGTTTTTTTGCCTGAGCCCTATGGAATATAGTGCTCACCTCTCCCTGGATGTTTGGCAGCTCATGAAGCAACAAGAAAGCTCTGTGCTTCAAAGGGAACATTTTTTTTTCTATGTAGAGTTGCTGATATTTTTCATTTAAAAGCATTTGTGTTTCCAATGGATCTTGTTTCTCCTCTTTTGTGTGATAGTAACCTGGCACACCTGATAGAGTATTAAACGTAAGAGTCAGGAAGGCCTGGCTTTGAATCCCAGGAACTGGAGGTCACAGAGGACAGTAAAAAGAGTATTAACTCTAAAGTCAGAGGGCCTGGGTTTAAAATCTACCTCTGACAGAACCTGTGTGACTTTGGATGGTCTCTTAAACTTCCTGAGCCTCAGTTTCCTCAACTGTTAAATGAGGAGGTTATAGACTATGTGGCTTCTGAGGTATCTTCTAGCTCTAGATTTCTGATCTCTGTGATCCCTATGTTCCCGCAGTGTGATAAGCCACTTAACCTCCATGGGCCTCAGTTTCCTCAAGTGTAAATCAGGGGATTGGACTTAGATGTTGCTTTAAGTCTCTTCTAGCTCTAAATCTATGTTCCTTACGAATGTTCCAGCTTTGTGACTTCTAGACGTCATTTCACTCCTGTGAGCCTTACTTTCTGCACCTATAAAATGGGGATTATAATAGTACCTATGCCATAGGGCTGTTGTGAGGATTCCATTGAGATAATGTATATAAAGATTTTGCAGACCTTAAGATGCCATATACATGTTATGTTTTTAATTCATTTACTCTTCTATATGCAAACCCTAGGAATTATTTTAAAGACAATAAACAAGTTTATGGCTCTGGAAATTATAAGCATGATAAAGTATAATGCTTCCATGTGTACTTGATATCAAAATCTTATTCTAGGCTCTCTAGATATGCCATGTTTCCAGATATGCTAAACTCAGCTTTGCATCTTTCTTGATGTATTAAATATGGACTTTGCTTATAGAATATTGAATTCTGATGGAATTTTGTTTGTCCCATGGTGCTTACAGTCTGTCTTTCATGATACTGATTTATACACCTATTTGTCTCCTCCACTAGATGGTAAGTTCCCAGAACAGGGACTATATCTTACACATCTTTGTATCTCAATCCTTACTAAAGGGCCTTCCTTTCACATAGCTCAATAAATATTTTATTGATTGAATGAATATTACTTTAGAAAAATGTTATAACTACTACTAATAACAAAATAATCCTTAAGAACTTCCATTTGTGATTATA